ACACATCACTGCTGCATTCACAGCCCGGACGGAGATCAGCAAGGAGCTGATCTCCCGTCCTCCTCCTCCTCCTCCTCCTCCTCCTCCTCCTCCTCCTCCGTTTCAGTGGTCTGAGGATCCTCCAGTCATTGCGTGTATTGGACGTGAGGACGCAGAGGGACATCTCATGGCTGCAATGTAGGAGGAAGAGAGGCTGGAGGTGAGCACTGTGACAGCCGACCGGCTCCCAGGTTCAGGTGAATGAGTTTTTGTTTTTTTGAGTCCCTAGACTGAAAGGTAGCCCCACTGCAAGGGGTCATGAAAATTTTGCCCGGAGTTCTGCTTTAAAGGGCAACTATGAGGCGAGTGAAAAATCATAGTTCGAGCCGACGTGTGAAAATGAAACTGTCACACGTCGGCTCAATAGATCGGGAAGTGAGCGAACGCATACCGTCGCACGCTCACTTCTCAACCGTGTCCCTGTAGAGAGCCGTGACTGTCACTCACGGTTCCCCGCAGGGATTCCCCCCTGTCCGATCCTCCAGCGCTAACTGGCGGAACCGATGGGGAGGGGGCGGGTACAGCTGGCTCTAGATAGGCAGAGCCAGCTGTCAACTCGCGAAGCTGGGTGGATCCAGACAGTAATGTCGGGATCCGCCCCGGCTGCGGCGGTCTCAGTATACCGCGAGCTGTAGCTCCCTATATACTGAGCTTTGGGTCACGGTAGGAGGTTTAGTTTATGTCCTCCCGTGACCCTTAGCAGAACTATGTGGAAAAGCACACTGACCCCATAGTTCTCTTTTAAGCTGAACTGAAATATCATTTTGCGTTTCTGTGCAATAATAATTTAAGGATCTCTCTTATACAGCTCCGTTCCTTCGCCTGAATGCCATGTGAATAAGTCTCAGCAGAACAGCCTGTTAATAGGATTAGCAAGTCACAACAAGGCCTGACACTGCAGGCAGCGGAGTGCTGTCAACGTGACCGAGCTGTAACTTAAGGGTTTATTTTTCCTCAATTCTAGCAGAAGTGTTTGTTACGCCGAGTCTTATTTCTAACAGGAGACAGCTGGCATTCCATTCAGGGGCACAGGCAGGGAGCCTTACACGTCTTATCCCATTAAAGTTATGTCATTGCATGTTAAGATGCTCGCAGTGCTAAAGATGTGCCAGTTGAATCCAATCACTGAAATCTCATAGAAGCTTTAACACCTTTTAATGTCCTTTCTGAAGTTATTTTCGGTCTTTTAAAATCTGCAGCGTTCATGAAAGTAATCCCTGGGGATCCTGCCACCAAGGTCCTGGTTCAGGCACTTCCTGTTTATGGGGTGATGGCTCCCTCTCAGTTCTCCTGTGTTGTCACATGCTGCCCCGCTAGAGACTACAAGCAGCCGTGCCAACACAGATGCTCCACCGTTGTCAGCATCAGGACGCCGGTTCAGAAGGATGTGCAGCAGATGCTCGAGCAAGTGCACGTAGACAGGAAGTGGCTGGGGGGGGGGGGGGGGGGAGGATTAAAAAAAAGGTTGGAACAGAATTAAATAGGAAAGGAATATAGAATTGTTCAATACACAGAGAGGAATTTATGAAGACTGAATCTGGAGCAGTTGTGCACGGCAACCAATCAGCGTCTAGCATCAGCTTGTTCAGTTACACTTTGAAAATGAAAGCTGGAAGTTGATTGGTTGCCATGCACAGAAAGAGTAACTCCAGATACTTATGAATTAACTCTTCTTTTAGCACTGGGAGAGCTATTAGTAAGCTACTAAAGAGCCTGACACCCATAAAAATGTTGGGTCTGTTTCTGCACCTTTACCTGCATCATGCCGATTGACAGTCCAGCTTCCATAGAGCAGAATTGGGGACGTTTTGTATTTCAGGGAGCAAGGCTTTTTTTTTTTTTTACATGCCAGGCAGAGGCACAGGGACCCCATGTCTGCTAATACTATACAGAGCATGCGCATTCCTTTTGTGCATGACACAGCGATGTGCAGACAGTTTGAGGCTTGTGTGCCTCGCTGCTTATTTCCAGCTGGTTAGTATAAAGCTGTCAAGCTGTATAGAATTCTGCATCCTATGGAGCGGTGTACTGATGTACCAGGATGTAGAGTGACCCCCCTAAGGCAGGGGTAGCCAAATTCCGGCCCTCCAGCTGTGGTGGAACTACAAATCCCATGAGGCATTGCAAGATTCTCACAGCCACAGGCCTGACTCCCGGAGAGAGATGCATCATGGGATTTGTAGTTTCACCACAGCTGGGGGGCCAGAGTATGGCTACCCCTGCTCTAAGGGCTAGTTCACACCAGATGCAGCCCATTCCGTTTTGAGCTGCATCAAAAACGCATCACAATGCTTTCCTATGGGACTCTTGTGCTCTGTTCACACCAGTGCAGTCCGTTTCGATGCAGTACAAAAGTACTGTTTGCCCTATTTTA